TCCCAGAACCCCTGCGAGGTTTGGGGTCTAGGGGGCACCCTGTTTTGAGTAGGAAACAGAACCCTAAACCGCTAAACCCTAAACCCCCAACCCTAAACGCCTAAACCCCTAACCCTACACCCCTAAAACCCCTAACACTAAGCCCCTAAACCCCGAAACCCCTAACCCTACACCCTAAGGCTACCAGCTTTGGTGGCCCACTAGGCTTCATCCATTTCCCCTGAGGGTCGAGACGGCTCGTTGGAGAAACCTTGACCTGCTTTTGAGGCGCTGCAGCTGGCGGTGGCTTTGAGCAGCCAGGTAGGCTTCTGGAAGTGCAAGTTTCCATTTGATTGTAGAAGTTGTGGCTGTAGAGGTGCATGTAGCTGATGTTTAGGCACAGCTTGTATTCACACATCCTCGGAAAGGGCGATCTCATCAACAGTGGTCAGTTTCTGTATGGAGTGAATCTGCCACTGCCAGGAGTTTCGCGATCCTCTCGCGCAATGTCTTCAACAAGGATTAGTAGGCAACTAGCTTTCAAGCAGTTCCTCTCTGCCTCTGTTGAAGCACACCTCATGGTAAGGGATGCCAGCGGGAACCTAGTAGCAACTGGCCACAGCCAGTCCTGTTTTAAGGCGCCAAATGAGCCATAGTCTAAACCCCTTAATAAGCCCTATAATAGTCCCGTAGACAATCCCCTATATAATCCCCTTAAGGAATTTGGACTATAGCTCAAATGGTTGCTCATGATAATCAAAGCGGTGGAGCTCATTGGGTAATATGAGGGATATATTGGGGTTATATTGGGATAATGGAAAATAAAATGGAAACTACATGAAACTACTATATCATATAGGGGGTATACAAGGGTATATCGAGCTCATTGGGGTTGGCAGGGAGACCTGTCACCCGTCCTGGGCCCCAGAGTTTTGATCAAGTGCCCTTGCCGCGAGGTTCAATGCCGGCGCCTGACCTCCTCCTGATGCAGGCCAGCCAATTGCCCACGGGCGCTGCCCCGTCTGCATGATGCTGAAGGTTATCAGTGCTGCTTCCATGACGAAAATTGTTGTCTCTCTTAGGTGGACCCCCCACACAGTAATGGTGGCTATAAGGGATACTAGCAATTCTATTAGGGCCTCTTATATTCTTATTGTACCACTATTGCAGGGTGGGGGTCCTCCTAATGTATCTCAGACTGAGCAAGAAGTCCTATAAGCTGCAGGATGTGACGCGGCGCGCGGCTTTTTTCCAGCGCTCCACAGCATTTTGGACGGTCTGCTTTGTGCAACTTGGCCACGTATGAATTAGGAGGACCCCCCACCCTGTAATAGTGACTGAAGGGTAAGGATTATATTGTAGGGTCCTCTTATATTCCTAATATACCACTATTACAGGGTGGGGGGTCCTCCTAACGTATGAAGTAATAATCCTCCAAAGGGCCCAGCGGCCCCAATAATAAATGACATCCTCAGGCCTCCAAAGGGCCGCGCACTTGGAGGGTCAGGGGGAACTAGTAAGTAGGTTGGCAACCCATATAAGCCGGAAAGTAATTAGCCTTTGCTATCCCAAACATTCGTTTCTCATCCCCATTATAACCCTACTTACTTCCATGCACTAAGTTCCCCTGACCCTCCCCAAGTAGCGTCTGCTAAGATGGGGCCCTACACCCGAAACATCCCGAAACCCTAATGTGCTTCCTTGAATGTGCAAGGGTCAGGCCACCGTTTAGAAGCTCTTAAAGTGAGGGTTATGCTCTGGCTAAAGGGGATTTCTTTTGAAGTGAACTGTTCCTGTCGTGTGGGAGTTCAGCCTGAGGTGTGTGACGGCAATTCTGGGCAGTCTTCTGTCCTCATTCAGAAGGCTTTGTGCCCAGCGCGTCACTGGCGAGGATGCAGCAGAAAGCCACCCTCAGTCCATGAGCCTGGCTTAGGACATGTGGGCAAGAAGCTCCGGCGTCAATGGTGGTGTGCACTGGGCTGAGCTTGCATGTCGCGCAGTGCCAGCATAGTGTCATCTAGGTCGGGTCTCACAACAAGTTGGCACTTTTTTAACTTATTGGGGTTCCTCTGCTTCATATCAAGGAGGTCAAAAGTTATTATCTTTTTGGAAGGGGAAGTAAAGAGCAACAAAGTCATGTGTTCCCGAGGCTGGTGCTTGCTATGCACAATTGGAGCTGGAATGATGCCTTGCAGACCCTCGGCTCTTCACTGCACTGGTTTCGGACAATTCCATCCATTAACCTCCAGCTGCACAGCACAATATGCACATGGATGTAGATATGTAGGACAGGGTTACATGGGGCAAGAGAGGGACCTCTGGCAGGGAATGGAAGAGCCACATGGAAAGCGCTGCCCACAATGGCACAGCCCTGAACCCCTAAACCCTCAAACCCCAAAACCTTAAGCCCTCAACCTCAAAACCTTAAAGCCCTAAAGCTCAAACCCTAAACCCTTAAAGCCCTAAACCTCAAACCCTAAACCCTTAAACACCTAAACCTCAAACCCTAAACCCTTAAAGCCCTAAACCTCAAACCCTAAACCCTTAAAGCCCTAAACCTCAAACCCTTAGACCCTCAAAGCCCTAAACCTTAAACCCTTAGACCCTCAAAGCCCTAAACCTTAAACTCTTAGACCCTCAAAGCCCTAAACCTTAAACCCTAAACCCTTAAAGCCCTAAACCCTAAACCCTTAAAGCCCTAAACCTTAAACCCTAAATCCCTTAAAGCCCTGCACCCCTAAACCCTAAAAAGTCGTTTCCATTTTCTTTTCCATTATCCCTATATAACCCTTATAGAACCCCCCCCCCCAATGGCACAAAGGCCTTTTCTGGCTGGGCCTTGCCATCGGAGTGCCTGGAGCTTGGTGCGGCTTGCAGTGGCATCATACCCAGGGCTACCTGTGAAGGGGGGTTCTATGGGGGTCATATAGGGTTTAGGGTTTAGGGTTCTATGGGGGTCATATAGGGTTTAGGGTTTAGGGTTTAGGGTTCTATGGGGGTCATATGAGTAGTATTCTATTTGGGGATACTATGGTACCCAATATAGAGTAAGATTATATCCTCCTTTTGGGGTATGGTATTTTATACAAGGAATATATTCTTACTGGGTTTAACCACCAAAAAAACGCTACTCATATAGGGTTTAGGGGTAACATATTGTTTAGGGTTTGGGGGTTCGGGTTTAGGGGTCAGACCAGCTATCGTCTAAAGTCCATAAAGGGAGGGGGGGGATACAGGGGAGTATCAGAGGGGTTATTAAGGGGGATACTTGGAGTTTAGACTATAGCTCATATAGGGTTCAGGGGTTATAGGGGTCATATAGGGTTTAGGGCTTAGGGGTCTAGGGTTTAGGATATAGGTGTCATATGAGCTCTAGTCTAAGCCGCTTTACGGGGGTGTGTCATAGGGGTCCTTGCAGTAGGGGGCTAACGATGGCAAAAGTATACCGTAATAGTATACCAAGGTCACCAATGTCATGCAGGATTTTGAGCATCAGCAGTAGGAGCTTCAGCTGAACCAAGACCTTTGCAATGGTCCCCAAGAATACGTAAGATTCCTCATGGGGAACAGCCAACAAGACCAGACTTGAGGTGGATGTGCATCCTCCATCGTCTAGCCTGTTCAGAGGAGCTCTCTTCAGAAGGCCACTGCTGCGAACATTGCACTACAGACAGGCAGTTTGCATGCGAACTGCTTTCAAGACGCTGATGTGCACTGGCGCACAAAGAGTAGTTTGCAACTCTTCTTTATTTTCCCTGTGTAACCCTTTATAACCTATTGCCCCGCATAGCATGAATCCCTTCATATGGGTGTTTGCAAAGCCGTGCAGCTTTACATATCATAATCACCTGCGTGCCAGATCCCAAAATCTCCGCCGAGCCGGATCTTGCACTTTTGGGCATGGATCAGGCAGCGGCCTTCCTGTACAAAGAGGTAGCACCACAGCCAATGCACCTCCCCCAATAGCTTCTGACTGCATAGGACTTCGGCACCAGAACTCCGGACAGCCATGAGAGTGACTCGGGACAAATCGCTGCTGAGAGGCACTGAGTATGTTGTGAAGTGAGCCTGCAACTCTCCTCAACGTAACATGTGACTCAGAGACACACCTGCTTGGGGAGTGTCAGAGAGACTTAATTAGTAAGTAATCTCCATAAGCAACATAGTAAGCCCAGGTATTCGCGGTTTTTAACCTGCTTACTGAGTTCCCTGACATTCCAAATATAAGCAGGGGAAAGGACCCCAGGACGCGTCAGATTGAGGGCTTGTTGACTTCTAGTCTAGAAACTCCTTAACGGGGGGATATATAGGGGACTATTGTGGGGTTTGCTAAGGGGGATACTAGGAGTTTAGGGTTTCGGGTCTAACCTCCTTAAAGGGGGGAATATGTAGGGGGTTATGTAGGGGAGTACTATGGGGTTTACTAAGGGGGATACNNAGTTTAGACTATAGCTCAATTGGCATTTTCTCTCAACCTCTAGTTTTTTTTTCTCAAGTTCTGAAGCGGCATCTCGTACAGTGAGATATGTGATCTGCTGCAAAATGGTCATGGAACCCTAACCCCTACAGAGTTTGACTTCTTTGTTCATGGCGGGCAGCGGAGGTCATATCGATGAGATCCCTGCTGTGTTTGATCGCGTCTGCCTTGGATGGGCTACAGATCAGTCATAATTATAATGGTTATCATGTAGGGCTTAGGGTTTAAGATAATGGTAGTGACATCTTGATAGCATTCCTTGCCAGGCTTGTACACGGCACTAGCTTTGGCCATAAACTGCGAAGTGCTGTCACGCTTAGTCTGTCCTTACCTCAACAAATACGTGTTATTATGCTTCCCACTCTCACTCAGTCTCTGCTTTTGTTTTAGCCGAGACATTGACCGCTGCATATGCCTTCTTGGTGCCTGGTGCCTTGGCTTGAAGGCTCTTTGACAATGAGGTTTTCCAGCTTACAAGGGCTGTGGCTTGCAGATGGCGTGGTGCAAGTTTTCTGTCTCCCCAGCTGCAGGCATTGTGACCAAAATGTTTTCAGCAAAAGCAGTGGTGGGTATTAGCGCCCCTTGGTTTGCAATGCGTCGGCCAAGTAGGCAGTGCGCCATTTTTCGAAAGAAGTAAGTGAGGGCTTGCCGAATTTTCCACAAACTTCACCAGCTTCGCTGAGGTAGTGCTTGACATCGAGAAGTCTACTTTGGGCTTGATCCTGTTGTTGCATCAGAATGGGATGTGGCTGGCTGCGCTGATCATCTTGGTTTACTCTGTGCCAGCCTCAGTCGTTTTCTCCAAGAAATGCTGCACATGAGAGTGTCTCAGCATTGAGGGGTCCCCTTTGTTGGGACTCAACCTTCGAAAAGGCCTACAGAATTTCCTGGGACTCCTTCATCCCCAGGACCTTGCAAGCTATCACCAATACTTGCATCAGAAGAGTGGGGAGACTGAGATGTGAGCGGATCATCGAAACTAGGACTAGGAATAATGCATTTCATTTTTCGGGCGGCCATTGTGCAATCACCAAACTTGCAGAAAGCCGGTTGTCTGGCATCACACGCGTGTTCAGCTCGTAAACGAAAGGCCTGGCGCATGACTGACAGACTGACGGACTGGCCTGCGAGCTGTTTCTAGAATCTGTCGCTCATTTAGATCTAGCTTTACATGGCCACGTGCAAAGTTGTGGAGAATTAGAGCAGGACCCGGAGTCTTAGGTTCTGATGCCGTTTGCGAAGCTTCTCGTGCTCATCAGCTACGCCCACCCAGCCCTGAGAGTGAATGGGCTTGCTTCGCCTGGCGCGGTGAGGCAGGCACGTAAACTTTGCCGCGCTAGAATAAGGTTTTGGGTTTTTGTATATATATATATATACATATCCATGTATGTATATTACATATACACATATAAGTATAATATATTGTAAGTTACATAGGGTGTAGGGATGTTGGGGCCTGGGTGTGCAACTTCGTTCAGAAAGCATTCCGGGCGCATAGGATGATGTTCTATCTTGGAGCCATTTTGGTGGCAGGTGTCGTGATCCCCTAAACCTCCCCACCCCCTAGTGTTGAATATTCCCATTACCCATTGTGGTATACTACAACTATAACATATTGGGAATATTTAATATTGGGACGGAGTGGTGGGGTTGAATATTGGGGGGTGGTATTAATTAGTTTCAATCGACCATGCCGTGTTTCATGCTTGCAGGGCGAATTGCATTCTCTAGCATGCCTCTAGCCTCATGGATTCTTGGACGAGGGCAGTGCAGAAGATTTCGAAGTGGGCAGCTGTGGACGTCTTCACCGCTGGAACCATTTGCGGCTTGTTCTGTCAGCCGCACCTGTACCTCGAGGCACCGGACCTTTCTGATGAAGTATCCCTGAACGAAAGTGGAACTCTGATACAAACAGAACCTCCAAGAGGTATGGGAACATTGTTTTGAACTCTAAGCTTATGGGCTGCATCTACACAGCGCCTTGCAACATTTAGCCAGTTCTTGCCAGCTCCAATGTGCAACTGTCGCAGATGAAGCTGCATGATGGATTCTACTACTTCATGGGCTACTGTGCCCGGCGCCCGGAAGTTGGCCAGATTTTGGATGAGAGGAAGTACCATGGGCGATCTTACTTCGTATCACAGAAAAAGAACCAGCACCGGCAGTGCGAGTCCAGCACTGCAACGGTATCAGGGAAGACTTCCTGTGGTGGTCAAGAACCGTATGACGTGTAGAAGCTTTGCACAGCTTGGCAGACTTGTGCGCGAGATATATATGTGCTGAGCAGCAGCCAGGTTCTGAGCGTTGCGGGTGCCCTTCTGATTGACTTGCCAACTGCCCCCATTGCATCTTGGCTCTCTTTATCTTGTGCTTCACCGAAGGCAAAACACTAGCAGCCTACTGAAAAGGCAGCGTCACACGTCCATGACGACAGCGACGACAGCGAATCCTCCGCATCTCCAGTCGGGGCCTTTTTGCACAGCTTCGGATCCGAATGAATTTGGCCCTATCATAGTACCCTCCATTTCATTTTCCATTTGAGTTTCCATCTGATTCTCTTTTATTGGGGCAATATCCCAAACCCTAAACCCTAAACCCTATTAAAACATGATGAGTTTTGCCAGGTCTCAGACTGTAGTTTCGATTGATCACTGATGCCTGGGGAAGCCGCAGGTTGCGTAGACCCCTCCCGGCGTTGGTGATGTTGTGCATATACTGTCTTTAGCCTCAAACGTGAAGATGCTGTCTTGGGGGCTGGCATTAGTATGGTGTATGCTGGGTTTTTCTTGGAGAGCATCTTCTGAGCGCCCTTCTGACCCCTTGTACTTCCCGGATTGTGGCTTGCGCTGCGTCGGCCATGCAAGTGGCAAGAACCATGTTAAAGTAGTTTCCATGTTAGTTTCCATTATCCCTATGTAATCCCTATACAATCCCTATAAAACCCGTCTATGATCCCTATCAAACCCCTATATAATGTATATAAAACCCTATATAATCTTATAAAACCCTTATATAATGAATATACAACCTCTACATAATCCCTATAAAACCCCTATATAATCCCTATAAAACCCCTATATAATCCCTATACATCCCCTATATAATGCCTTATCCCTTTAAAGGGTTTAGCAGCCCCTCAAGTGACTCCAGGTCCTTGCTGTGACCGCTGGCGCTCTGGCAGTCGGGACCGTCGCAAGCCTCGCCCTGCTGCCAATGATGAAGGCAGTGCTGTAGGCTGTACTGTCCTTAGGAAATATGTTTTCATTTTTATCATGGTATAACCCTAAGGCTTTATAGGTCTAAGGAAACTACAGTGATGTAGCAGTGGTGTAGGGGTGTTATTTATTTAGGATAATGGAGAAGGAAATGGAGATTTAGGGTCTAGGTTTAGGGTTTAGGGATATTACCCCAATACTGGTGTAGGCTGTACCGCCCTTAGGAAATATGCTTTCATTTTTATTATAGTATAACCCGAAGGAAGTATTAAAAATCGTATTTTGCTTTATAGGTCTAAGGAAACTACAGTAGGGGGTTATTTAGGGATAATGGTAAAATGGAGATTTAGGATTTAGGGTATAGGAGGTTATTTACGGATAATGGAAAACAAAATGGAGATTTAGGGTATAGGGTTTAATGTATAGGAGGTTATTTAGGGATAACGGAAAACAAAATGGAGATTTAGGGTTTAGGGTTTAGGGTATAGGAGGTTATTTAGGGATGATGGAAAACAAAATGGAGATTTAGGGTATAGGGTTTAGAGTTTAGATATTGCCCCAATAATGGAGAATCAAATGAAACAGATGGAAAATGAAATGAAAACTTTCATGAGCCAGAATCTGAACTCCTTATAGGGGGTTATATAGGGAAGTATTGTAGGGATTGTTATGGGGGATGCTAGGAGTTAAGATTATATCTCATATAGGGATTATATTGTTTTAGCTATGTAGTAATACTGGACAAGAAAAAGGAAACTACTATAGTAGTTTCACAACCTTTAGAGGAGTATGTAGGAGTTATATAGGGTTTAGGGCCTCAGATCCCTTTAAAGGGACTTTTATACAGTCAAGCTTGTGAAAGTTTTCGTTTGCGGAAAGCCGATTGGCTGGCCTTGGGTCGCTAAGAATTAGGGTTTAGGGTTTAGGAGTTAGGATTTGGGGTTTAGGGTTTATAGTCGTCCCTATAAGGCCCATTATCGTAGTTTCCATTTTCATTTGCATTCCTAAACCCTAAGCTCTAACTCCTATAAAATCCATTCTGCTACCCATTATGGTAGTTTCCATTTTCTTTTCCATTCCTTCATTCCCAGCTAACCAAAGGCCAGCAAATCTGTAATTCCTAAACCCTAAATAGTACTTTCCCTTGAATTTTCCAGTCTCCCAATATATATATATACACACCCTATATAACCCAGTTGGGTGTTGCAGGTTACCTTCCCAATCATTGGCCTGGATGCCCACATTTCCATAGTCACCTTGGTTGCTTCTCTCTGGGAGCCTCGTCACGCACAGAGAGTTGATCCGTTTACAAAGCCTGGCACAGGTCGGTTTCCATGTATCAGGGATCCCGTTTTGGGAGTACTTACATTATGGAATATGGTGATTCGGAGCATCTTTGGGGGGGAGCATGGGGGAGCCCTCTCTAACTGTTGGAAATGCCGTCATTTTGTTGAGACGTGGTTCTGTTCAAACGCTTGTTCGCTCCTCAGGACAAGGGCTTTGCTGGCGCTGCTGTATGCTTTGCCGCTCGCTTGGAAATGATATCCTTGATTCCTCAGGGTGCTGGCAAGCGATACCCTCAAGCATGGATGTACATGTCGCCAAAATTGTCATTCGAGTGGTTGCAAAATGTCATAGAAGTGGTTCTCTGCAACCGTTTGAGGATTATAGGCGAGTTAAGTAGGGCTAGCAGTTCCCTAAACTCGGACAGAATTGCGCATACTTATCCTAGCTATAATATAAAAACCCAAACATGCTGATGTAGTGGCCTACAGCACTAGGACAGGGTTTGTGGGAACCGTATACTACAACAACCACATGGCTCAACCAAAAACTATCAAGGAAGATTACTAATTCCAGCGTTAGTGTGATTGTGCATTTGCTTGTCCATTTGGTTTCCACCATTGGGGCAAAACTCCCTGCAAGCTCAATATAACCCTTAATGGAAAATGGAATGGACACGACTATAATATATAGGGATGACATTGGGGTTATATAGGGATAATGGAAAAGAAAATGGAAAGTACTCTAATTGTATGATCCCATCGGGCCCGACATATTCTCATGCCCATGAACCTTCTACCAGGTCTTGCTCCTCCTCATACCTGCGGTGGATCTGGTGCTTTGTGCCCTGAGCGCAGCCCACTGTGCTCCTGTCCTGGCAGGGGCCTCAGCTGCGGGGGAATTCGACTTTCTTTCAAGAGAATAAAAGTAAGAGCAAGATAATTGTCGTAACAATGATTAATGACAACAATTGTGATAAGAATAGCAACAACGACAGGAATCATACTAGTAGGAACTAATGATAATGATCATACTTATAACTCCTCTATGTTGATGTTTCCAGAGACCACGGATCTCTTTTAGGTGGTACCATGGGGTACCTATAAAAAGGACTATATCTGAAGGATGTGTACCCATGGCAACCGCCCATGTGTATGTTTACTGTTTCTGAGAACCTTCATATCAAATATGGAAGACTGGTCATCGACTGGATTGGGAGGGTGGTGAGTGGGAATTAGTGGTTAAGAGTTTAGGGCCTATAGGGCTTAGGGTCTAGGGTCTTGGCGGGCTTAGCGGGTATTCTTATAGGCCTCATAAGCCAAGGAGTAACCCCAGATATCATCATTTTCAATCTACTTACTAAGCCCCCATGACCCGCCAAGTAGACCCCAAGCCCTAAATCAGGCAGACGTTACAGGTCCAAGGATTGAAAACAAAAATCCGTTAGACAAAGATTAATAAGCAAGTAAATAGGCGCAGTTTCCATTTCATGTTCCATGTTCTTTTCCATTTGATTCTCTGCTACCATTATATGGGGGCCGTCTGAAAACATCTTGTGGAAGTTTTTAGATAAAGCAGCCACGGGCTGGCTTAGCAGGCCTTCCGAGAAAGTTTGGGAAGGTGTCCGCGAAAAGAATCTGGGATTTCACGAAAGAGCATCGTAAGCTAAACTTCCTTACATGCTGTCAAATGCATTTCTCTGCCAGCACTCTGATGGAGGCATCCCCGAAAAAGCAAATCGCTTGTGAAGCATGCGCTCACTCTCGGAATTCTGACCCGAAAAATTGCCAAAGATCCGCAAAAGTCCGCATAAGCCGAACGGAGATGACATAACTTCTGCGTTTGATGAACGGTTTCTGCTTCACATGTGCTTCCGTGAAAGTTCGCGATGGTCTTTCGCGAAAGGGGATCTTGGGTTTTCTGCGAAGAGATCATGTTGGAATGAGATTATTTTGGATAACGCCCATACTTTTGTATCTCTATGTACCCTACATGTTTACATACGCTTATACAGATATATTCACATTAATATATGACTCCTACATGTCTCTATATCTATGTTTCTGAATCAACTTTGGATCCCACTCGCAAAGCTTCTTTACCTGGCTCCAAGGTGTGCAGGAAGCTGAGGCCGTGCCAGGGACAAAAAAAGAAACACATGGTTTGGGGCTCAGGGTTATGAAGGCTCAGGGTTTAGAGGGTGTATGTTTTAGAGTTCAGTCAGGGCTTTAATGTAGGGGCCTAGAATAATTACCAGCTTCAGAGACATTTTCCTGCGGCAATGGTTGTGTTGATCGCAGCATTGTGTCATCGTCGCGCGGCTTGGCCCCAGCACTGTTTCAAACAAGAGAGATTTTCCCCAATAACGGATAATCACATGAAAAAAGGGAACATGACATGGAGACTCGGAAACTGTCAAGAATTTCAGAGTGTTCCATGTAGGTGCCTAACCAATTCCCAGCATGATGGTCCTAGATTGCTAGTGTTATGGTAAAGGGTACCATAAACAGACTTCCAATGATGCTTGGTAACAGGTATTTAGGCTCCCACGCTAGGCTTTAGAGTTCAGGTTTCAAGGAGGGGCGGGGCAGGGACCCTAAACCCTAAACAGAGCATCGACCTCCCAGATCCACCTGTGGAGGTCCTGGTTCCGGGACTTTGCAATGCTCGACGTGTATGCGCTGGCTTGCGTGGTTGTTCTTTCAGCGGTGCAGCTTGCCAGCAGTCTTGTATGATCTTATACCTTTTCTTAGCAGCAATTCTTGGACTACGACACGAGTCTTCAACCAAGGACGGCCTTGAACAATGACCTGCATTTGCACCTTCTGCCCGCTGGGTGGGTGCTATGCTCGCTGACTGTGCCATGGGTTGTTCTCCGGCCACACAAGCCATCTTGTCGTCATGGGCCACAGGACCTAAACCCTAAGCCACTTATAGCCCTATATCACCCCAATGTAGCTCCTATATTACCGCTACATAGCCCCTATATAACCCCTATATACCATTGGACGGACCGCTGCAGCTGAGGTTTTTTCATGGGCGCGAACTTTCAACTAGAAAGCAAAGCGCGACATGCTGAGCTCAAGCTGATCTTCATTCAAGATGCAGACTATAATATATATTAAAATATACAATAACATACTATAATATTATACAACAGTATACTATAATAGGCTTGTTTCGGAAGCTGCCCGCGGCTGGACTACACATGCACAGGAAATACTGAATCTGGGTGCGCTACGAGAACTTGATAGAGGCCGGTCCGAAACAGCCGGCAGCCCCTGCGCACTAAACCCTCATTAGTAGTTTCCATTTTCTTTTCCATTATCCCTATATAACCCCAATGAGTACCCATAATATACCATAATGAACCATCTTACCCGCGTCAACCTAAGAACCCCCCTGGTTTTTTGTCGAATTAACTTTTCCAGAGATGGGTGACCTGTGAATATTTCAAAGACAGGGTACTCGATCCAAAATCCCAAATAGAGACTCCATAATCTCCTCCTAATCTCCAGGTATCCCCAAGGTCTTGAGGTATCCTAATTTTCGGGCAAATCTTGACCCTCGCTGTTGAAGTGGCATCAAGCTGCGACGCGAGGCAGCTCCTTGCAAAGTCAAGGAGGACGCCTTGGCAAGACATGGGAATGTGACCAAATTCTGGCATCGCCATACTTCCATCAATAGGGGCTGTAAGTTAAACCCCAGGAAAATGCGATTGATAAAAAGCCTTTCGCAAAGAGGTCTCAATATTTTGCTTAGCCCCAATGGCCTCTGAAAAGAAGGTATGGTCTTCGGCGTGAGCCTTCTGAGACATCCACCCGAACTGTAGTCTAAACTCCTGGAGGGCTGGTTATAAGGCTGCCTATTTATTCTTATTCTCAGCTCTCTTTTATTATTTTCCCTGTGTTGACCAATCATAATTTGGAGGTTTTGCGCTATTTCTATTCTGCGTGTTCTTGAATTTGCTGCAGCGGTTTGATTGTTGTTCGCGCGCTGTCGATCTGGCGTTTGTTTTAGCCAGTGGATTTCAAAGAGTGGTGTTTGTTATTCACGTTTCTTTATGTTGTTTCATGCCATATTAATGAAAACCTCAGGTGGTTAGGTCACAAGATGTTACGTAATAGTTATGTAAGCATGCAAGAAATTCGTGTTGAACTCTTTGATATCACATTATGTATTTCATGTAAGCTTGAAATAACAAAATGAGAATGCTTTCCTTGCCCGCTTTTGCAATCTTTCCTGTTATGAAGTACCAAAACAATCATTACTGCAACCCAAAACGCCTCTGGTTTGATCTGTTCTGCATGTATGCTAGCTTGAAAGCTCATTCGACCTTGCAATTGCTATCAGGCTTTAATGTCGAATGGTGTGTGGGGTAGGCTTCCAGAAATCTAGTTACATAGATTGCATATTCCAGGAGAGAAGTCTGAATGCAAGTAGTTGCAGCGTACCATGTGCTTTCAAGTGCATACCTGCTATTGCTTACCAGCATTCCTATTCAAGCTTATCTTCTTGCCCAACCGCATCTCTTTCTGCCGCATAGTGCCGGGATGAAATGTTCAAGGATCGTCTAGGCCTTAAACAATCAGGCTTTGAAAGAGGGACGCTGCAAGATATAGGTTGTGATCGATGTATGTAGCTGCTTCGGGAGCTTGCCTCTATTTAGGGAAGCTTGAGCCAGTAACCATGCACGGCTTGAGAAGGCTTGATGGACTTCAGAACGCCTAGGTTCGAAGAGGCGGCCTCAGCTGCACCAAAGCGCCATACGTTTAGACTGGCAGCCGAGGCAACATATGTTGCCAAGGTCTGGTGCCCAGCGTTGCGGCCAGTGTGGCCGTCAAGGATATCCCCCTACATAAACAAACCTCCCTACCCCCTTGTCTTCAATACCCCCATATGTAGTTTTCTGTCAGAGGAGAGATACCGGTTGAATAAGGCGCAAAGGATTGTGATCAAAGAGCCGTTGCGACAAAGCATGCTTTGACACTTGCTGCCTCCTTTCCTTCAGCAACATCTGTCGTCTACCTATGGATCCGTTGTGTTGGCAATCATACCCACATACTTCAGGGACCCCGCTGTTTCGGATACTTTTGACTTGGTGGGCTATAGACTCTACACTGGATAGCTAGCACGGAGCAGATCAAGGCTAAGCATCCGAGCCTTGCAGATTAAGAATAACAAGCACAGGGGATTAGAAAAAAAAACGAGAAGAAAAAAACCTAGTCCCTGGTTATTTCGGTGATTTTATGAGGGACCCTTATGGAGCTCAAAAGAAAAGGGAATGCCAGGAGTTTAGATTACGGCTCACTTGTACAGGAGGCCAAAGCCAGTGTGTTTCCAGGTCCACAAGTGGCGATGGAATGTGCAACACGGGGTCATGATCCGGGCGGCTCACATCTGGCTTTAATGATGTTGAGCTCCTATACCCCAAACCCTCATTCTAAACCATAAACCTAAACCCTAAGGCCCCCCTATCTCCTAAACGCTAAACTCATTGCACACAGCAGCTCGAAACTTTTCAGTAGTCAGAAGTGCTCGGAAGCATGGCTGCCTCGATCTGAGAATCTGCTATGCCACTGGGCCAAGATGGTTTATGATGGTCTAGCGGTCGAAGCCTGGTCCCGCGTGTCAAACGGCCTTGCGGACGGTTCGCTGATGAAGTCTGCACACTGTTGCTCGATGATTCGTGCCCCATGCCCTAGACCCTGAATAGCTTGCCGGGCAAATCAAACATTAAATACCTTTTCCATTTTCCTTTAACCCCTTAACTCCAAATCATAAATCGTTAGCTTTACATAGTAGCTTCCATGTTCCTTTCCATTCCCCATGTATTGTTTGTCCTTATGAAGTCTATAGCTTAGGAGCTTCTGTTTTGTTTTCCAGCCACCTAGGCTTTGGCAAATATCCTTATACACCCCTACATAACCCACCTATTCCTTTTTAGGCAGTTCTAATGTCTTTGCCAGGCCAAAGCACGAGAGGTTGGCCAAGCAGCTTCGAGCCACACCCAAGGCAGCCGAGGCACTTGCGGGGCTTCCTAGGGAGCATACTAAGGGGTTTAGGGTTTCGGGGGGTTCCTGCCTTCCTCAACTGCCAAGCTGACTCCGTTCCCAGGTGGTGGCAGCTGTAGCGCAGTCAGACGAGGGCGAGCTGCCCATGCCCCAGTAGTCCCCCTCAAGTAGATAGAAATACGGTATAGTATAGTCCCCCTTGGGTAGATAGAATATGGGGTATATGAGGATCTGGTTATGGCATTAGGGAATTCCATATTCGATTTACTTAAAGCTCGAGTTCTGCAATGCTCGCCAGCACTTCTTACCAGCGCTGTGCCAGGAAGCGCATGCCCGTTGGTGCGCTCGCAAGAGCATTAACATCGCTTGCCAGCGTTCCTTGGCGAAATGGTACAACGCAGGCATACTCGAAGCCATTTTGTGTGCGCAAGGTTCCGGCGGCAGGCTCCGATGATGCGCTTGCTGGAGCCACAGCCAGCAAGTCAGTCAGAAGTCGTTGGCCCGATAAAGCAAAACATGCCAGGGAAGGGGCAAATGACGAATTAATTCATTTCACTGGCTTTAGCGGCTTTTGCATCTCTTGCGTGTTCCAAGGGCGAAGATGCAACAGCCGCTCAGATTCGCCTACTAGCAGCTCTGCCGTCCTCTTAGCTTGAACGCGGCTCCTCTGTGTCCCTCGAGGGAGTTTGGGGTGGACCCTCAGGTTGGACCCTCGAATTCGGGTAGCCCTTATGAGGGACAACCGTTCCTACATTGAGGGCAGATGTGTATTGAACAGATAGATAGATAGATATATATATATATATTTATACATATGTGCATATGTATGTTGTTGGGTGGTATGAGTTGTGGGTCCGACATGTGGGTCCCACCTGAAATCCTTTGAGTCAATCAGCTCAAATAGTGTTGATCATGCGTGATTTGAAGGATGCAACTCTCAGGCGAGAGGTGAACAACAACGAGGAGGACACATTGATTGCTCGTGATTTGTAGGGAATGAAGGACTGGGCTCTAGGGGCTACGCCAAGGGACTATACAGTGACTATTGTCCAGGGATCCACCTTCATTCCAAATACGTGCTAATAACTACCAGTTAGATTAATGTGCTCCACCAGCTGTCCTTCAGCTGCACTCATGGGGCAAGCAAGCAGCGGATGGCTTGGTTGTCTAAAATTTCCCAGTACCTCAAGACAAGGCACGTCTAGGCCGAAGGCTTTGTTGGGCGAGATTTGTTGTATTCTTTCGATTGGTAGTTTGACCTAGTTCGATCGTTTCAACATATCGTTGGCCTTTGCAGATACATTTGTCTGGACACAGGCGCTGGTATGATGGACATCTTCTATATTTCCGTTTCAATGCAAAGATGCTGTGGTCTTGGCTCCTATTGAATGAATCACAACTTAACCCCAAGCCCGCATGCACTCGTCCTTTCATCTCTTACACACCAAAAACCAGACTTCGGTCAAGAAATGGCATGGCTGGGCAAACCAAATCACTTCCGAGGAGACGGTGGATATACCAGCGCCAGAACTTCTGCATTCCGCTGAAAAGGCTCAATGCAACAGCTAGGAGAAGAAAAGGGCCAGTTCATGGGATCTGGCTATTCATGTTCATCTAGCTTCTCTGCACATTGAGGGAGACGTTTAATTGTTTTAAGGTTGGGAGGCATTTCCCGCGGTTCAGCAGGATGTGTGGTATCCAGTTGGAAATAGTACTAATCTCCTCCCCCTAATATTAACCCCCCCACTCCCCCTAATATTAGATATCCCCAACATGTTATAATATGCTGCAACGGCAGAATCTAAGATTGAAGGGGTGGGGTGCTTAATATTAGGGGAGGGGACCCTACGCCGTTGAATCCTAAGCCCCTATTAAAGCTCTTGTTCTTCACCGAGCTGCCGGTTGCAAGGGTTTCTGACAAATCCATGCCATAGCCGGGTAATGAATTGTCTACGGTCTAGCTTAGGGCTTAGTGCTTAGGATTTAGGGTTTAGGGACTAGGGTTCAGTCAT